GAATGTGTATAGATTATAGGGGTCTTAATGCTATCACAGTGAAGAATGCAGAACCACTGCCCCGTATAGACGATTTGCTAGACCGGGTGCAGGGCTGCAAGTATTTTTCAAAGATAGATTTGAAGTCCGACTTTTATCAGATAGAGATTCATCCTGATGACCAGTACAAGACAGCATTCCGGACTAGATATGGGCACTACGAGTTTATAGTTATGCCCTTTGGACTAACCAATGCGCCAACTACTTTCCAGCACTGCATGAACGACTTGTTTAGGCCGTGGTTAGATAAATTTGTTGTAGTATATCTAGATGATATTCTAATGTTCAGTAAGACCCTTCAGGAGCATGAGGGCAAATCTGAGGCAGGTCTTGGAGAAACTTAGAGAAGCTAACTTCAAGATCAACGCAAAGAAGTGCGAATGGGCCAAAACACATGTTTTGTACCTGGGCCACGTCTTAGACGGAGACTGCGTTAGACCTGAAGATAGTAAGATTGCAGCGATTAGAGACTGGCCAACGCCCCACACACTGACAGAGTTGCGGTCATTCTTAGGGCTAGCTAATTACTATAGGAAGTTCGTAAGAAACTTCTCCACCATCGCTGCACCCCTTCGCAGGTTGCTAAAGAAAAAGGCAATCTGGAAGTGGGACAAGGACTATACAGCTGCCCTGAAAAGGTTAAAGCGAGCCCTCATAGAATATCCAGTCCTTAAGCTAGCCGATCTATCCCTACATTTCGTTGTTACCACTGACGCGAGCGAGTATGGCATAGGTGTTGTTTCATATCAAGACGATGGCAATGGATATAGGCCCGTAGAGTTCATGCCCGCCAGGATGCCTTTAGAGAAGGTGGCGACATCAACCTATGAGAGAGAACTCTATGCTCTCAGGCAAGCACTAGATCATTAGCAACACTACTTGCTTGGGAGGCACTTCAAAGTCTATTCAGACCACGAGACTCTAAGGTGGCTGAAGACTCAGGCCAAGATGACACCTAAGCTTACTAGGTGGGACGCAGAGTTAGACCATTATGACTTTGAACTGAAGCCAGTTAAAGGGAAGTATAATGTAGTAGTGGACGCTTTGAGTAGAAGAGCTGATTACTTTGGGGCAATAGTTCACTATCTGGATATAAGGAGAGACCTGCAGGAGAAAGTTAGAAAGGCATATGCATAAGACCCTATCAATAGTGATCTCCTCAAGAGAGTTAGGCCAGGCCCCAAAGTCTGAGCCAAATTACCGCACTACTGATGGCTTATTATTCAAGAAGACTAATGTAGTTGACTGCCTGTGCGTTCCCAACAGTGAAGAGATCCGTAGTTTGATCTTAGGGGAATGCCATGATACAGAGGGACACTTTGGTTGGCCAAAGAGACTAGCCAACCTCATGTGCGCATACATCTGGCCTGGTATGAAGGCCGACCGCATAGAGTATGTCCGCAATTGTAAAGTCTGTCAGCAAAACAAGACTACTACGCACGCCCCTCTTGGTCTTCTCAGACCCCTGCCTATTCCGGACAGACCCGAAGATTCTGTCCATCGACTTCATTGACACGCAGGTCAAGAGTAGGCATGGCAAAAGTCAAGTCATGGTCATAGTAGATAGATTTAGCAAGTATGTAGTTTTTGTTCCTTTGCCTGCAGAGGCACACACAAACTTAGTAGTTCAAAGTTTTTTGACTACTGGGTCCGTGAGCATGGTATACCACTGTCAATAGTTAGTGACAGGGATACCAGATTCACTAGTCAGAACTGGCAGGAGCTGATGAAAGTTTATGGCTCAAAGTTGCTGATGTCCTCTGCTCGTCATCCTGAGACTAACGGCCAGACTGAACAGATGAACAAGCTCCTGCAGCACGTTCTTAGAATGTACATTAAGCCCGATCAGATCAACTGGGATGAGATGCTCCCAAAGGTAGCCAGTGCCTACAATAATAGCGTGCACTTGTCTACGTGTCGCACTCCCAACAAATTGCACAAGTCTTTTGGACCGTGCAGACCATTTGAAGGACTTAACCGGGATCAGATTCAGAGGCTGCTGCCCGGTACACGAGAGTTTGCGATACAGCACGAGAAAGAAATAGCTACCATTGTTGACAACCTCAGGAAAGCCCAGCACAGAATGATAGAACAAGCTAACAAGCACCGTCGCCCCTCACAGTTTCAAGTAGGCGACTTAGTCTGGGTCAAGTCAAAAGAGTTTGTCCCTGAGGAAAACATCTCACAAAAGTTGTTGCCTGCGTATAGAGGACCGTGGCCAGTCCTAGAAGTCAAGGGCGGAGAGGATGGACCGTCCTATACTATTGAGATCCCAGCACACCTCCACACCTACCCAGTGCTCCATGCGTCAAAGCTGTTACCTTGAGTCACAAGTCAACAGTTCCCATCACGCAGATCTATGATTCCTCCAGATATGGATGGAAGATATGACATTGAAGGGATAGTAGGTGAGGATATCTTCAGGACAGGAGGTAGAGGTCGTCCCCAGAAGCAATACAAAATCAGATTTGCCTATCAAGAGCCAGAAGACGACCGCTGGTTCAAGCCAACAGAACTTCTAGCGACAGCTCCCGATATAGTACGAGCCTACGAAAGAGATAAGAAGGGTAAAGGTCCTGCCTTAGACTAAAATATTATCGGAGGGCCTCGAATTTAGGGCGGCAGGAGTGAAACGGTTTTCACCTTTCTGCAGTCACAGATGCGGGCCCTAGAGTTCAATCCCCAGACCTCACTCTGCCCATGTACAGTATTGAGTCACACCCGAGTGTTTGAACCCGTGATCTGTGTTTTGGTAGTTGTTTGTCGTCTGTCGTAGGTCTGTGTAGTGGTAGGGGTTTGATCTGTAGGTCTGTCGATCAGGAGTCACAACTCTGTAGAGGTTGTGGCTGTAGATGATCTGAAAGGTCAAGGTCGTAGCTGCTACAGTACCCGAAAGGCCAAGTCCAGACTTCCAGAAGGTCCGGAAGTGGCCTTTTGAAGTGTCTCACGTTTAGTCAGAGGCAAATGGGCAAGCGGTGAGCCCAACTGCATTACGTCGGCAGTGCGACTGCATTGAGTTGGCAGTGCAAACCCATGCAGTCAGCAGTACCGGTCCCAGTCAGTCAGAGTCCAGTCAAGCAAGTACCGTGTGGGACTGTGTACACCAAGGGCCTGGGAAAGGGGCAGACCAACGAGTTACAAAAGTATAAATCAAGAGGCAGCGCCCAGCCATTCATTCATTCGCTGCGGAAGCCATGCGGAAGCGCTGCTACGGCGTCTTGTGCGAAGGTGGTCTGCATGTTGCCCGAAGACGAAGTGGGCTGAAGGGAGATCGTAGCCATAGTCAGTAGTGGTAGCGCGGCCATAGCCGCTGTAGGAGGAGGTGAGATTGTGTGTGTGTGGTGGTATTCAGGGTGATCCAGAGTGAGTGTGTGTGAACAGTGGGGTTGGACACAGTGACAAAGGTTGGGATGTTCAGGCGCCGATGCGCCATAGCCTGTTGCAGAGAACTTCCTTTTTTTTTTTTTTTTTTTTAATGTGGTCCGATGGACCACGGATCAGATATTGAACTGATCAGAACAGATACTACACTTGATCTTAGCCAAAAGGCCAAGAAAGGTATACTGTTGCAGAGAACTTGCATCTGAACTGTGTTCTTGATTTCCATATCTCTAAGCTTTGAGTGGGTGCCCTGCGCCAGTGTGAATCTCCATCTGTTTGCATGTATGTGAAGTGGAAGTGAAAGCGAGTCTGATTGCACATCTGGGACTCCGGGACCATAACTCGGGACATGTTCCAGCCTGAAATCCTTTCAGAGAAGAGGAGAAGAAAAACAAACCTCTCTCTCTCTCTCTCTCTCTCTCTCTCTCTCTCTCTCTCTCTCTCTCTTTGTGTATGTCAACTCAGATACTGACTGATGAGAGGCGCTACCTTGAGGCACTGTAGGCCCCATAGTGGAAGCTTGATGAGGGTCGGCTGAACTCCCCAAACTATGTCGCCAATGTAACGTGTCTGCCTACTTCTCTACCACAGCAAACATTCACTCTCGTTAGTCCTCCGCCTCTCCTCGCTGGCGGTACTGCCTCTAGAAGTAGCATGCTAACACCAGTGCTGCTGTCCACCAACCTGCTGGATCGATTTGATGCTCAAGGACAGTGGCCGAAGTCCTGTTCCAGTAGCTGAGGCCATGGAAATGTGTGGCCTGGGTCCGTATCGAATGCTCAGGCCCACCTGCTGTCTTTGAAGGTCCACTTTGCCTGGTAGAACAGGCAATGGCTGGACTAGGCACAACTGCACAAGAAAAGGTCCGGTTCTGATGCGGCCAAAGTCTCCAGCGAACCCCACTGGGCAAAACGTGTGCACCAGATCTACCTCAGGTCTGAAAAGGCAAGTGCCTGTTAGGACTTCAGAAATCCGAAATGACACCATCCTAGGACAGACAATTGGATCAGACAATCAGAAGGGAATGACAAGTCAGAGAACCTCAGAAACATGGAATCACATGGAAAATTGAAGTAAAGGTAACCAGAGCAAACAAAAAGAACTCATGCTGTCCGAGTTAATGAGCCAAGGGCCAGATAATATACTGCTGCACTATGGACGCCCAAAACTGGACTGCATGGCCATAGGGGTGCCCGAAATCAGGCCCAAGACTCGCATAGCCCATGTGCAAGGCCCCGTGCATGCCACACCAAAATTTGCATGGGTGACTGCAGCGTCATCATCGCATTGGTTGAGACTCTGCCAATCTGGTATTAAACCACATTTTGATGGAATTATCATTTGTCATGGAGACTCATTTCATTTCCATGCGCTCACATCATTCCCATGGCCTTCTTTCGCTCTTTTATTCTGTTCGTCTGTGTTGTTTGTCCAGGACATTAGCTCTCAGTCAATCCAACTAATGAATGGACGGATCGACAGTCATATACAGATCAACAGACGGACGGACGGACCGAGATGTGACAGGGGTTGTAGTTCTATTGGAAGGTGACATTGTCATGTGGGAAAGGTGGAACAAGAACCGATAGGACAGACTTCGGCCGCAACCGTATCAACAAATGTAAGCTCGCTAGACTCCGCCATTCTAACTAAACGTGATCCCCTGCATAGCACCTTTCATTGCTGTTGACAATTGATTGGGACAAACCCACATGCCAACGTTAGTTTTGTTATGCTTATGGTCATATCATTTCATGCTGTATGTGATTAATAAGTAGTGCATTGATCTGCCTTGTGATCAGCATCCCTGGTGAAACATTAATTAGCATATTAAGTGTTATTGTGCCTGCTTTCACTCATCTTCGTAGACCAATTGTCATTGAATTTATCAGCTGTAAGGAGTGGGCCTAAAGCGTTTGCGTGTATCTGTTCTTTTCCTGAGGAGCACTGGCATTTCGACTGGTCATATGACTTTGAGCTCCATCTGCTGAAGGTCTCGGTTAAACAGTCTGTTTAGTATTATAGTCTTTCAAATGTGCTAGGAACCTCATGCTTGATCAGATAAGCACAAGGACCCTGGGAAGAGTTGCCCTTATAAAACACCACCCTTGTTCATCCTTTTCTTTGTCCTTGCATCTCGTTCGGGCTTGCTGTGCCTCTCTCTTTCAGCCATTTCCTGGCATCATAAGTAGTTTCTCCACTTATGAATGCGGAAAGTCAGGGTTTCGCCCCCTCTGTAGTTCGTGTGATTTCTTGACTGCAAATTGAATGGTTCGCTGTGAAGTGACTGTATATAGGTGCGATCCCAGTCCTCCATTTGCCTTTTTGTAACAGGGGAACCGTAAAGAAGGGGAGGGAATCATACAAAGAAGGTGTTCTGCCCGAGTCAAACACTGATGAAGGTGAAGATGGTGGATGGGCTCCACCACCAATAACTAAACTCCTGGAACTCCACCAAAAACAATGATAAAGGAACTGATATTCAGAAAGCTCTCATTTGCCCCGCACCCCCCTCTCTCTCCGAAAATATGAACCGCAGAGGTGGAACAGCAGTTCTGGCTGCCATGGTATAAAGAACCACTGGCAGCAACGTATCTCACCATTCAGCCACAGCAGAGGGCGCCCCAGGCAGCCTCAAACCTTCAGCTCTGGTGGCCAGCTATAGCCACGTCTGCAACCTCAGACTCTGAGGAGGCCTACTGCACCCCGAAGGTCACACAGTTTAGCTTCCTGGCCACATCAAGGGTGAGCAAAGAGTGCTGCCTCTCACACAGATGGCACCTCAATATGTACTCCAGCTGGACGTTTCCTGGTCGCTCGGCTGTCTCGTTCATCTATCCAGGCAATACACCTGTGAAGGCCAAACCTGCTTTTTTTTTTTCTTTTTTTTTTTGGACCATTTCTCGATTTATGTGTGTCATCCTTGCGCAGGGGCGATGCTAATCTTCTCTGTATCGTTCCAATTTTAACGGATGTCCCGAAGGACACCAAACTTGCTATCTGGCCTTGCTTTAGTCAGAACTGTACATCTAGGTTTGATACCACCACCCAGGTACTCAGCAATCTGCTTGGCCACAGTCCACTGAATTGTGGACAGCTCAATGAAATGCCTGTAACAAGCCTTATAAAATTGTCAAGGTTAATAAAATGTTGCACTTCAAAAGACTCAGCAAATTCTACTCAAAAAAGGACTTGACCAGGTCATTGAGGACCAAAAGCACACTCAAAAATGTCAAATGACTGTGCAATCAGAAAACCAAAAAAACTTAAACCACCAGTACCTTTCTCAGCTATCGGTGCCGAGCCTAAAATCGGCCTGCGTGCCCAAAGAAAAATGAACCAGCACGGATTCGATTTTGGCTGGCGCCACCAGCCATTTCACACCGGTAGTTCTGAAGCTGCCTGGCAGAGGATGCCCCAGGCAGCTATGTGGTGCATGCCACACCCGATCTCACCCTCTCTCCCTCTGAAAGCAGTTTGTCTTTCACTCTCCGTCCCCCAATGTCGACACCTCAAACCTTAAGCTCTGGTGGCCAGCAATAGCCGCACGTCTGGCAACCTCAAAGGAGCCCTACTGCAGAACAGGTAGCTGGTGCTCCACTCCTCCAGGAATGGTTATCCCATAGGCGGTAGAAGTGGGCCTGTCTGCCGGCATTTCACCTGATATGTATAAAGTGGCAGACTGGCTGATTGAAAATCTGAGAATGTAATATCGTGGCGTATCAGAAGATTTTGGGATATATCGTACATGGAATTGGTGCCAATGCTAGCAAATAGTCCACGTTTCACTGCCTGTTGACTGCTGTGGCTACACGTTCCTCACCAGTCGGTTTACTCTCCGTCCCCACTAGCAGCACCAATGGTAAGCCCGCCTTTGTTCCACCAACGAAAACTTGTGCTTCAAGGTAATGCTAGTTCTTCGATCGCTCAGTAGAGAGGAGAACAGGGTTGACAAGTCAGAGGAATCTTCGTCAGGCTCAGGGACTTCGGACGCTGAATCACCTGCACTTCATTTACTGCAAGATGAGACAGCTGTGGTTGCTGGTACTGGGGGCATGGAGGCGGATACTTTTGCATCGACTGACGAGGGTTCACCCTTCGCACCTTCAGTGCTGCAGCCAGGTCATAGTGGGGGGGGGACAGTGCACAGGTAATTGGAAAGGGAGCAATGGTAGAAAAAACAGTGCTATCATTGGAGCTCAACGTTCTTTCACCATTACAACACCACCCCTGTGCACAGCGGAAGGATACCAGCGAAGTGGCAGGTACAGCAACATCATCTGCCCTCTCTGCAGCCTCACTGTCACCCCACCATTCAATAAAGAATAATGAAAATACTGGAAATAAGCTACAGGTGGTTTCCGCGCTGTAGCAGTCCCTCATGCTACAGGCGGCAACCACACTGCAGCAGTCCCTGTCACATGAACAACTAATATTTTGGGTCCAGGTGAGGAACTAGATTCTGCAAATCCCTGTATAAAAACGGGACTGTTGGATGGGGTGGGGGTGGAGGAACCAGGTAATCAGCAGCCAAAGGATCGACAACATTGTAATGCAGGATCTGATATGCCTCTGTTGAATCAGCCTACTATCAGCAGTCCAGAGCAGGGTCAACTATGTTTAGCCTTGGCTGCTTGGGATCAGGAAAAGCCAACCCCTCTCCCTGGTCACCATCAGGATTTAGGTGTTGTCTTGACTGCTGGTGATCAGGAGAAGGTTGCTCCACTCCAAATACAACAAACAGATCTCCCTCCACCGCCCCCCCCTGAGTCAGAGCTTACTAGTCGAAGGCAGAAGCTTCGACTCCTGTTGGCAAAAGGTCAGGGTGAACAGATCTCATCTAAAACAGGGATCTTGATACTGCTTGTCAGACTCAAGGAAGGAGTCTGGGAAGCAGGTCTATCACAACCTCCCAATACAACACATGGGAAGGTCACTCTTCAATGGACCTCTTCCTGTTTTCTGCCCCTCTCCTCTCTGACATGTAGACTTGCAGGGGAGTCCCGATTGAGAAATGAAACACTCTTCAATTGACCTCTTCCTGTTTTCTATCCCTCTCCTATCTGACAGATAGACTTGCAGGGGAGTCCCGATTGAGAAATGAAATATTGAAGTTTGTCCAGGATCAGTTCCCTCCTGGAGGGATTTCTACCCTGACTATCTACAGAAACACGACGACTTGCTGAGAGAGATGTATACTTGATGTACGAACATACAGGGCAAACGGATGCGGTGGTTCAGCCAGACCACACCTCGTGATTTTTAGCAGCTTAAGATCAAATCCAGCAGGTCCTGGTCTGAAATTGATGTCACCATCCTACTCACCAGAATCCTTGGGCGCGGTGTCCAGCCTCCAGCCGTCTCCTTTCCGCCCAACGGCACCTTACCAAGAACAACCCTCTTCACGACAGCCCCGGACAGGTTCGGGAGCGGGGAGAGGTCTTAACAGAGGGTTCTGTCGTAAACAGAACTCTTTTCGTATCAGAGCGACTCAGCGGCGAATAGAATTCAAAGGGCTTTCCTCACCAGAGCCACCAAAGAGACTCAGCGGCAAACAGAACTCTTCCCAGCGGCAAACAGACCTCAAAAGACTTTTCTTACCAGAGTTCCCAGAGAGACTCAGCAGCAAACAGGACTCGGAGAACAGAACACGAGGGCTTTCTTACCAGAGAGGCTCAGCAGTAAACAGAACTCCTCTCACGGCTTACTTCAGAAGGACTCATCGGAGAACAGAACTCAAAGGACTTTTCTTACCAGAGCCACTAGAGAGAGTCAGCAGCAAACAGAACTCGAAGAACAGAACACGAGGGCTTCCTTACCAGAGAGACTCAGCAGAAAACAGAACTCCTCTCGCTGCTTACTTCAGAAGTACTCGGCGGAGAACAGAACTTAAGGGACTTTCTTACCAGAGCCACTAGAGAGACTCAGCAGCGAGCAGAACTCGAAGACAAGAACACGAGGGCTTCCTTACCAGAGAGACTCAGCAGTAAACAGAACTCCTCTTGCTGCTTATTTCAGAAAGACTCAGCGGCTAACAAAACTCAATTCACAACTGTTTCAGAGAGACTCCAGCCGAGGCCGGTCTGAGATAATGAGACAGCGAACTGAATTTGTGCGGAAAAGTTAAATAGTTGGACCGTGGTCGAACACCGTCTGGCAACTGAGCAGCCAGGCCGAAATAATGCACCACCAAAGTGGGCTCGAACAGCGAGCTGAGCTGCGCAAAAACAGTTGATTAATCTGACTGTGGTTGAGCACCCGTGGGGAATTTGATCATTCGACTGAACAGGGTACCTGAGTAATCAGGCCGAGATAACGCACTACCGAAGAGGATTCGAACAGCAAACTGATCTGTGCAAAACAGTTAAACAAGGTACGAGAGAATAACGACTTAGTAGTCAGGCCGAGGTGAAGGATTACGGACCACCAAAAAGGTAGCCGAGGGCGCGCCGGAACTCGTAAGGTGCCAGGTTGCATGCTCGCGGCTCCGGATAGAGAGAGCGAAACGCTTTCTGGAACAGCTAGCCCGCGGTGCGGAAGCGGCGAGCGAGAAGCGCTCTCTTAGCGCAGGTCGAAGGTCATAAAGAAGCCGGAGATCACTGAAAGCGTGACAGCGGGCGA